CATCATTTAACAAAACAAAATAAATATAGTCTCAAAATTAAAGCCTTATACTCATTTAACAAGACCACAAATTTTACAACTTTATAGTTTTAGTCCAGACAATTGATGAATGTTTAATATACCACATACATTCACTTAGTATAATGGACATAAAATATATTATGAATGAAAGTAATCCCTATGACTCCATACTGACCAAAAAAAAAACGAACTCAAATTAGAGACAGTAAATTATACCTTATCCTCAAGCATATATTTTATTTCGTTAGGAGACAAATTTTCCTTTTAACTAGATCCTTATGGCGTCAGTTGTAAGTTATATTATAATGATAATATGAACACAAAAGCAACATGAGATCAATTATGAAATTTTTAACTGGTTGTACGGAGAGACATATTTGTGGAACATTGTTATGGCATTTTAATTAATAACTATATTAGTCAATAATAGACTAATCAACTCAGTTGATCCTACGAGACATTTAAATATTACTTATTTACATATAGTTATGTACAAGAATTATAATTTAAGATATATTAAATTTATTCAAGATAATAGAAACTTCGATTTCATATTTAGGTCAAATATAATTAAGTTGGAAACTCTATGACTTAATGGTAAAAATGCCAACTCTAGTATATACAGCCAAACTGTTAGTACCGACAGCATAGCAATGAACAATCTGAAGTTATATATTATATAGTTTTTATCATGTTAAAAAAATTTGACAGAGACAGATAATCGTAATTTAACTCTCCACCAACTAGTATTTTTTTCGTACAACATGTCCCTCATTATCCAAACTCAAACAATATATGTATTTTATAATATGCTTCATGTTATCTTATAAAGGCATAATCATCTGCATTGTTGTTTCCCCTCTACAACAATGGCTTTCAGGACCTCGGAGAATGTGTAGTCCGGACCCTTAACTAACTTTCCGTTCCAGTTTAACTAAATTTAGTATTTAGACATTAAGACTATTTCTTCCTGTGTTTTATGGATTACAGTTTTGTTAAACTATAAAAATAATTTATATTTCTTGCATAGTAATATGTAGTATCAATACTTCTGCAAAAGCTTTAAGTGATAGTATCATCTAAAGGAAAAAAATGTAGAATATAACAGAACTAAAGCTAGCAGGTTTCCAATGTCGTGGATTAATGCGTCACTGGTGAATCTTTTGTGTTACAACTCGTTTAAACAGACGCCACTCAATTCTGCAAATGTTGACCAAAATATTATCTGTTAAGAAGTACCTTATGTCAGGTAATTCATAAGATCTTCAAATAAAGGAGAAATCAAAATCCAATAGTTACAAATAGTTTCACTGCTTTCAAGTAGACCCGACATTCTGTCTCTTCAGCCAAATGTATATATAGGTTTTATTGAGATTCTTAAATTGGCCATCAAATAACCAGCAATATATCAAAGGTGTATTCTGCTAAGTACCAGCACGTTTCTGTAATCATTTCTTTTACCTGTTTTTTATTAAAAGTGCCTTACATATACGGATGGAAAAAAAGATTTTAAAATTTGTTTTAAAAATTATTCGAAATTAAATTTCAATTAGCATAGAATTTTAAAAAATCAATTTAATTTAATATTTTATTGTGCAAATAAAATTTATTTTCAAAAAAACAAATTCGCTTGAACTCAACTATTCCATATCTGCCATTTTTGCCATTTTTGCTTATGCAGATTTTAACGCATCACCGGCTGACGGTCCCAAATTTCTGCCTAACAACTTAAACAATGCGAAAATCGTGCCTATAAGCCTGCTGCAGATTGCGGATATGCTAAAACAATAACTAAACATTTTCAGTTAGAAATTAGTTTTAAATTCAAAATTAAATATTTTTCAATTTACGATTTTTAGTGCAATTTTTTGAAAATAATTTTTAAATAAGACAAAAATGACTGACACGATTATTTTAGTCATAAAAACTTTATTTCAGCATTGGCTAAAATTTCTATTCCGTTTTTCTACTGTAGGGAGAAATTTCATTTCTACCAAAAGCAAAACTATAAGAATTTTAGATATTGGTCGTACTCAGCAAATTCCAACAAAATCATGGATTGTTTGACTATGCAATTTCGATTTCATCTGTGTGGCCTTGGAAATTTTACAATGGACTGAACTGTTCAACATTCATACTCACACATGCAGAAGAATTTATATGCGGAAATGCATAAATAACTTCGGGAAAGAGTTTGAGATACAAATGAAGTCCAAACTTTGGAAAATTTCACAACGAAAACTAGTTACCTAAAATTTTTAAATTTTTTTAGTTAGATTTTAATGCGTTGATGTTTCCATGGAAACTATTATGCTCAACATTAATTAACTTTTTATTTTTGGTTTCTTGGTTCATTAGTAAAAATTATATGCAGATTCATTTGCTTTCTAAAACTTCCTGGGGTTTGTAGAGGGAGTGGCCTTCGATTAGTGAAAATTTAAATACCTGCGATATGAAATACGTGAATATGTGCAAAAATTTTGAAATTTATGCTATTGAATGGTTTGATATTTTAGAAGATAAAACGGTGTCATATAGGGATAATTAATAATGCATGTAATTATCATTAGACTCACCTCAAATACTTAGTTTTTAAAAGTTCTATTCACTTTCAAATAACCTTTATTTACATTAGTTTACATCGTTTTTTTGTCTTAAATAAGATGTGGTTAACCCTTAATCAATGCTATTGAACGTAACCAAAAAATTTATAAAATATTTCAAAAATTTGATTGAATAGGAATTTCTTCTTAACTACAGGACATTGTAGTCTTAATTACCACATGAAGATTATAGGTGCGGTAGAAAGTGATTCCTGTCGACTCTGTCATGAGGAGAAGGAAACTGTAGAACATATCCTATGCAACTGCCCAACGGCGACAAGACATAGACTCGACTACCTTGGAAGCGGGACCTTAGTCACAAATCAAATAGGTTAAATTAAGCCCACAGCAATTATGAGATTTATTAATATTCTAGAATTATTTTAGTTGGGCCTTTAGGTGCACATTAGATCTTTTACGTCGGGATGCATTCATAGCCTATTATTTAATAATAATAGTATTAAAGAAAATCGTTTGCCAACGTTCATCACTTCTTTCATGTTATCCTTTACTTTATTAATGTTAACTTAAACAAATCAATAAAAGGTATTTCAAAAAATATTTTGATTAAAGTGTTTAATAACAAAAATTTAATTTTAATCGTATATTATTTAACTAAAAAACTTAAACTTCCGATAAAATTTATACTTAATACCCATAAGTATCCTTTAAATGCGGCAATATATAATAGAATTGTGCTTATCTTTCAATAAATCTATTTTTGGTTTCTTAATTACTTTAATAAAACTCAATTTTTTTATTCTTCCATCTTCTTATATCTCGTTACTAAATCATAAATATAACATAAACCCCATAACTTTAACCTATCTAGATATATATTTGATTTCTTTTTAAAGGGATGTACAACCAAGATATCCCAACTGTGATATCTGTGATAACAAACTTGTGATAACAAACTGCTAAAACAATCCAACCAAGAATAGTGACTACAATATAATAAAGCTACACCTACTCAAAGACATATTAAATAAAATTTAGATATAATTCTTAACATGAATATAAGCACAGAGCGGAGGACCTAGCAGTCGAGTTCCTTATTCTTAGTTAATTTTAAAATTAATTTTAATAAATAAAAGATATAAATATTTGACATTTGGAACCAATCAACAACCGAATTGAATTTCTGAAATATCTACGGAATGCATAATCATATATTTAAGCAAAGTGATTAACTGAGTATAATTTGATTCCATAATAGATAATAAAAAAATTTTGCTTAAATATTTATAACTATTAATGGATTTAATTAATATGGTATATAAATTAAATAAAATAAATATATTAAAACAAATATCCAACATAACATAACACCTAAATTTGAAATAAATTTTGTATAAATATCAATTTTAATTATTTATTTACATCTCCTGGCATTATATTAAAGATACATATTATAATTATTCAAATATACAATTATAAATATACATTATACGATTTATTATATCTTATTCAAATTATTTATTATATGTGTGTAATATAATACATATATACAATAAGACAATTGTATTTAAATAATTAAAATCATTAATCATTGTAATCACCTAAAAAATATATTTTCTTTTTGAAACTATTAAAATGCTATACCATCTAATTAGTAATTTTTAATGGCTTTAAAAATCAAAAACGATTATTTGATTAGTATTTATAATCACATAAACTGACAGGCATTCCAGAATTTCTACTAAAACTATCTATGATGCGCTATGAATAAAAATTTACACTTAAAAACAAATTAACAAGAAAATAATGATCAACATAATTTATGTATATTACTTTATTATGATGAAATAGGAAATGAGTGACCAAAATTGTATCTATGGCGGATAATAAAATTTGTTGTATCTATACAGTCCACAGCACTCACAATAACATTTGTCGCAAATAGCTATGGTACACAAAATTTTAATTACTATAAGCAAATGCTTGGCAAGGTTAAAACAATAACTCAGCGTGTCCTTTGATAAGCAGAAACGTATTGTAGCTTAATCCGCATACACATTTGGGCTCAAAAAGATCCTTTTTGCGTTCTGCAGCAATAAAATGTATATTTCTTGGTAAAATCGCGGATTACTTTTGGAATTTTATGGAAATACTCAAACGATTTGCATTTTGACCTGCACTTATTTAATAACGCCTATGTATGGGCAGGTAGTTGACATTCTGGCAGCGAATTCGGCGAACTAACTTAAGGACAGCTATTTGTTGCCCATGAGGGTTTGAGTATAAATACTTTTGTGAGGACAATATTTCTACATTATCAATTGAAACGTATCACAGACAACTACGTGTAGTTTGAATATAATAGTTAAACATAATTTTAAATTTCAATAAAAATCTTAATAAAATCGTAACAAAATGGGTTGCTGTTCAAGTTCTGCTTTGGAAAAAGTAAACATTTCCTTGGATGAAGGCATTTACGTTAAAACTCCCGAACGTACTGCATCAAGACGCAGTTTAGCTAGCCGCATAAGTTCTGGTTCCAGTGGTGTATTTTCCAATTATACATCTCCTAGCAGAAAAAGCATTTCTTCCAGTCGCTCTAATGGATCAAAATTAAATATTTCACCAAGTCTTAAACCTAAAGGGATTAATTTCAATGAAGAACCAAAAGTGGAAAGTCCAAAATTGTCTGCATGCGATGATTTTGTTGATGTTCGTGTATTGGATTTAGATAAATCATTTGGTTATTTTTCGGATACAAATAATACTGATAGCAGCTTGAGGCATCTACCAAATTGTGAGCCATTCAATGATTTAGAAATGGAAATGTACATGGTGACACATGCGGACTTTATGATGCCTAAAACTTCTTCACCGATATTTAATAAGCGTGAAATAGGTTATGCCATGCCGTCATTAATTGAAGCTTCACCTGCATCACAATCATATCAAAAATGGAGAAACTATTTACAAAGAACACCAACATATCTATCGCAAAATATTACTAACATTCCAGAAGCTATTGCTGGACTATTCTGCCCACAAGATTTTCCTGCATTTACCGAATTGGATGATATGGAAAGACCAGCAAAACGTTATAAAGTTGATAACGGAGAAGAAATAATTTTTGAAAATTTTAAAGAAATCGTATCGACAGATCTGTAAAAATAGAAAGCTTGATACATCAAAAATATTTGATTTTGGACTAAAACCTTATCAGAGGTGCCTACCTTGAACGTTCCATTGAAAGCTTCACACAGCAATAATATTTGTGCTTGGACTTAAACCTGAACAAAGGTGGTTACATTGGATGACATTAGATGCTTGACCCAATTACAAAGATGCTAGATGAACAAAATGTCAAAGGACTGATGAGAATGAGAATTTGTTCTTATACGAAAGATTGTTCTTTTTGGAAAGAATACTTAATGTAAATGATTAATTTATTTGCAATTGTAGTAAATTTATAAGAGTTCGGTTCTACAATGAGTGGAAATTAAATAAAAGAAAATAAAAAAAATAAAAAATAAAATAAACATATATATATATTTTTATTATTTCTTGTAAACTGATCATAACTTACATCATTTAACAGTAATTGAATTATTTAATAGTGAGTGACCGGAGGTCGCTTTTCTTCTGAGTGGTCACTTTTCTTCTTTGCCAACGGGTCGGTTAAATTTAAAATAATTAAATTAAATTTTAAATTCAAAAAACCTTTCAAATAAAATTACCCGTGTATACATATATATTAAATGACTATTTGGATCTTAATAATTAAAAATAAATAAATTGAATGGAATATATATTTTAAACACATTAAGCAGATGTAATAATTCTAAAGAATAATTCATTCTATTTAATTAATTGGTTGCTGCTATTCATAAAATCTAACTAATATCCTCATATTGGCGTAATTAGTAGGTAATAATAATAATCGATTTTGGTTTTGATTAAAGCAAAAACTATTTATCTTCCACATAATTATTTGGCTCAGTTGGTAATTATACCAACTGTATTGCTTTTCATTAAATTAGGCTTCCATTTAGAAATTATGAAATATGCATTTATGATAATATGTTCATAATGTGCCTTAATCCTTTCAGTTAAGCAAAAATTTAGAAGGACACTAGTACAATTAAACGAAACGATTACATATTCAAACCAAACATATGTAATAACCGTTATTGTAGAGAAAAGCGATTTTATTTTGAATCTAATTAATTTTTGATATTCATTGATATATTAAAGCTATTAAATCCATTGCTAATTAATTTATATAAATAATTTGTTTTTATATGCATATAAAAATACTTTTTTTCTTATATTTGCATAATTTTCTACGTATATTAGAGTATAAATAGAAATTTATTACAAATATTAACAATATCATTGTGTCTATACATTTTTTTAAACCAAAAAGTACGCCAGATAGCAGAAATTATTTAATGTTCCTTGCCATGTACAAGAACCATTACTATAATTTTAAAAATACAATATTTTAGAGACCATTCATCAAACCAGATGAATGGTCTCTAATGCGTACCGCTCCAATTGAGCTTATTAAAAAAAATAACAAAACCAGCTAGCTCTTATAATACTAAAAAAATAATAATGTCTCAGTGAGAATTTCCTAACGACAAACAGAAATAGAAGTTCTCATCTTAATAAGTGGTTCTGACATTCTGTCTCCTCACACAAACCCTTTTTGATCTAATAATAGCAAACTTTAGCTCATGAATACTTATTTCCAGAAAATTCGTGCTTCCCGCGAAATACTCTGCTCCGATCTTAGGAAAATTATAGCATACAATGGGAAATAAATTTTTAAAAATGGTGAATAAACATCAAAAATTTATAAAACTCTAAATTGAGTAAAATTACATGAATTTTGGGTGTTAAACTCTAGTACAAAAAATATATATAGACTGATGATGATAATATCCGAAACTTCTATATAGTGTACCTGAAAATTAATTTAAATAATTTACTAAATTCAATTGCATATCAATAGAGGTCGCAAATGATTTTTAAATTTTAAATAATTAAATTTTCGAATTTAAAATTTTTCTTTTGGTTACTCGCTTTTCTATTTACCTGTCAGAGGAAATAAAAATTAATTAATTATTAAATTAATACTTTTTTAAAGCAATTAATTTTTTTTTTATTGGTTCATCAATAAATTTTCCCACAAAGAACACAGTAGGAACATTTAAACATATTTAAATTACATTAAAATGTACTATAAATTGTATTTCAACTTTAGAAAAGTTTATTACTTCTACATTTTTTACAAATATTTTCGAAGTAATATATTATGACATGAATTTATTGTTTATGTGTAAAAGAGTTTAGAAATGTTACATGTCCTTTGACTTATCAACATAATTATAAAGCCCCATAAAATATGCAACAGAAAATTAGCTTTAAATATTTTCATATTAATTAAATATAAATATACTGCACTATTTTAAACATTATTATTATTAATATTTTATTAAATACCATATTGTAAAATACTTAAACTATAAAAACAATACTAATTATTGGCAATACATTCCGTTAACAATAAGAAAGGACAGCTTGTCAATATTATCGATTTTAGTAATAAGTCCTTAACAAACACAACTGCATTTTATTAAAAGAGAAGGAAATGTCTGAGAGTCTTACTGCAAGCACTCACAGTAATTACCAATAATAACTTAAGTCTATGTACTGACAATAACCAAGGAAAAAAATGTAAATGGCCACCAGCAATATCAAGCACAGTAATTTTATAAAATTTCCTTACTGCAATAAAAATTAGTTTTAGTTAGGTATTTATAAAATATTTTTCACATGGTATATATTTTTATATTAGAATAAAAATTTTCCGGAATATATTGAATTTATCAATTAATTGGATTTAACTACTGAATTTTGTTTTTCATTAAGTATGTAAAATATGACTTTTTTAATTTTACTTAAATCGCCTTAAGTAAATAAATGTTCAACATCGCATCTGCACGATTTTTCGCTTGTTTTAGTTTAAAAAAGTTTGTTTTTTCATTGAATTAAATTATTTTATTTTTGGAAAAAGTTTAAAAGAACTTTTGGTACTACTATACAATTGTAAATATAATCCCAGCACTTTTGTTTACTTCAGGTTTTTTGTTAAAAAAGTTGTATTTTAACTTGAAATTTAAGAGAGTATATATATAAAGTATATTTAAATTATAGTATGAAAAAAAGAGTATGCTTGGTAGCTTGGTAAAAGGTGCCATGATCATATGTATTAATTTAGAACTTTAAATTAACTACAAATATTATGTTGAGGCTAGTTGAGTCACTGCACTTGAGCACTTTTACTCTCTATTAACCGCGAAGTGTCTTCAAAAAAGATTATTGTTTATCACTTCTTCAGACTAAGCAATAATTGACCTCAGATTTCCGTACCTTCCCGAGGAGTCTGTAACCATTCTGAGATTTGATAACGCGGTGTTGGTAAGTCTGTCAGATTTCGCAAATAATTTCAGGGCTCTATCCTTTATGTATTTTTTGATGGGATCAATCTTGATGTCCCTGAGGATAACTACAAATATGTTTCAAATAATTTTTTATATATAATAGTATTTCTAATTTTCTTATTAAACGATTATTAACTCATTCTTTAAATATAAACCGAATGCAACCGATAATATCTATTGTGCCTTTTAGCCAGATAAGAGTGTTTTTCCCAAATCCGATTTCTTTAATGAAAGACAGTGTGCTCATCATAGCAGAATTTAGAAAATAATAATTGATATTATAGGAGCAGTCAGGACGTGTATCTTCTATACATTGATCTTAATATTAAAAATAATTGCAATATGAGCAATATTATAATAAACTGCTAAGTAGAACTCAGATACTGATATGACACAATTCTAATTCATCTATGGAATTATCTATATTAGACTACTTATACAATACATTTATTCGTACACTTTGAACGATAATTTATAGTATATTTTCCGTCAACATGTTATTTAAAAGGTTGTCATATTTTATTGACATATTTTAAAATTGTTAAAATTATTCAAATATTATTATTGAAAATAATAATTTAAGCCTACAACTAAAAAGCTAATTTAATCAAGCCAAAGAAGTACAAGTATCACTCCAAAATCCATTGCTGTGAAAATAAATTTAGATTTAACTATTATTTCATCCATCATCCCTTTAGAAGTAAATAAAAAATTTCTTATGATTATGTTATATATATAAAATAAATACTACACGAATTCTTACAATTTTGAGTGAAATATTTTCAAAATACAACAACTGAAGCGTATAAATTTAAATGTGCCTAAATCGATACCATTTGATCCTACAAATCCATTAGCAATCAGGAATTTGTGTTTGTTACATTTTAAATCGCCCTCTCTAATCTTAATATATTTACGAGTACATCCGTACACTCCAGTTGTAATGCGTTAAGAAGATTTATTATTGTGCTGTTTTAGTTGGAATACGAATTGGAAAATGTAGAGCAGTTTAAATACATAAGTATACTTAATAAAACACACTTTAATCTTTCAGCTTAAGCCATTGCCATAGGAATACAAAAAATTGGTACAAATAACATGGATTTGTAGTCGTTTTAATTTAGATGAAATAAAGAAATTATATTTAATGTTCTAATTTAGTGCAGCTACTTCAGTTGAAGTGCCACTCAAATTTGTCATTGTGGTTAATGCAAAAATTTACTTTAAAGATCATTTGGCCTTCTCTGATTTTACGGAAGAAATAAGATGCTATTTGAAAATGGAAATACTCTTGGCACGCTCATAAAAACCATTTCTTTATGAAATGACAATAAACTTCACAGTGAGTAACGCTTAATCAGTTTCGGACATAAAATGTGTAACCGTGTGAAACCTTGCGAGGATTATGGTTTTGAATGAAGCCGCAGGTCACACATTCATAAGATAGAGTACAATCGCAACAAATTCTTAATCCGTTGGTTTTTGTTAAGATTAATAATGTATCTTTTGTGATTTCTCTTGGATCTAAGAAAATATACTTTCTGCGGTTGAAAATATATTTTAGATAATTTTTGGTGTGGGTTTTTTCAATCCATAAACTTCTCGTTGTGTACCGTTTAAATAAAATTTGTCGTGTTCATCAAAAAGTGTGTTAAGCAT